AGGGGGGCTGGACTAGATGACCCACAGAGGTCCCTGCCAACCCCGAACATTCTGTGATTCTGTGATTTCTTTTTTAACCGAGAGAACGGGTAAGCCTGAAAATATAAGGAACGAATATTTCCAAAGTGGTTTCAGCTGAGTGAAAGATGACATATGACCACAGCAGACCCATGGAAAAACCCTCTTGAGAAAATGCTTAATCACATCTTGATCTGCACTACTTTCTAATTTAAACGAGGCAATTTAGAGATGCTTCGGTAAGGGGCTGCTTGCTTTACTACAGAAATACTCCAGTTCCTATTTATCCAGACACATGGACCCATAGGAATTGCCTGCACAGGCCCAGCACGCTTGCTACGCTGCTGACAAGAAGTCCTTACAAAAACTACAGCTAAAGGCACCAGCAGAAACTTCAAGTTGGAAATCAGCTCAATACTTCAGCGCTGAGTTGATTAAAGCATTTCACTCCCTGCCTTTACGGACAGCAAATGTTGAAGCAGAAGTGAGGGATTACCTTTGGTTTGTAAGCGTTGAGCATTGACATCTCCACGTTCTGTCCTCTTACGTGTTTCGGTTGTCTTTGGACGGGAGGGGAGGACGACTTCTGATTGTTGCGACAGATGCAGATGAAGAAGAAGAGCAAGGCTATGGCCAGGGGAATAGTAACACTTGGCACCAGGATATACAGGATTTCCATTTTATTCTTTTCCTTGGAATCCTTATAATCTGGAATCAGAAAATCAGAAAAAACCCCAAAGCAATGAGTTAAGCATCCCACAGAGTCAAATACATCCCTGGGGCAACTAGAAGTGTTAAGAAGAATAAAACATCCAAGCCATATTACTGCAATCTACCTTGAATGCTGTTTTATTTCCTTAATATGAACAGAGCAATTAATTTTGTTAATCACATTTCTGTAAGAACACAGAACGGCCAGGAACAATTTCCCTGCAGCACATCAGCTCAAACCTTCTTACGGTCAACGAAACAGCTGAACGCTGCGAGGTGGCTATTGCCTGGAGCAAAATGAAGTAACGGTCTCATGCAGGTCCACAGAAAGATAATTCTTAACACAACTTATGGAAGAAAGGCTCTGGTGGAATTATGGACTCCTTATTTTAGTATGTACAGCAGGTTTTGATGCCATAGTTTCCTTAATCCAACAGAAATGCGGGGCCCCATTAAAAAATGATAGTTTTATCCCCCCATGTATTTCCAGCCTCTGGTTCTCAACATCTCCTAGCATTGGTCCAAGCATTTCCGCGGCACTGGAACAAAGAACATGTGCAACAGAAAACTTCTTTTCTAGTTAGTTATAGGTGCAGGAGCAGGACCATTAAGAACTCTAGAGCAGAAGAAATGGAGGACAGCTCGGAAATGGGAGGAAATGCATGGAAATGGCAAGAACTAGAGAGAACAGTCCTGGATTTTATCCCCTGAAGTCAGGAAAGGGGTTCAGAAAGTCTGAACACAGACAAAAGCTGTAGCATAATCTTTAAAAAAACCCTTACATACTGAGGACTTGGTCTTAATAGGATTAACGGGCTAATGGGAAAACCCACCCCTCTACCAGCTATAGACTAACAGCGGGTCATCTGAGCAGGGTGGCAAACCGGACACAGCAACGAGAGCTGAAAGGAAAGCTAGAGCAGGGATAAAGAAGAAAGATCCGGAAGAGGTCGGGCAGCCGGTTTATGACACAGTGCGAATGCTCGCTGCGGGATTTGCTCCCTCCGCACACAGCTCTCTTCACAGCTAGGGAGCGAGTAATTTTAGAACATGAAGCCCTCTTCTACCAGCGCCCAGCAAGGCGTGGTGGGGCCGTCAGACACGCACCTCCCTCCAGCCGGCCCCGGGTCCACCGAGCACGTTGCTTGGAGGGAAGGAGTGGTGGGAGAGGAGCAGGAGCTTCAGGAAGGAGCTCACCCGCTCGTGTTGACAAGGACCTCCCTTCCAGCCTGACTGCTCTGAGCTGGGGGACGCTGCAGCCTGCTTTGCCCCGGTATTTCCCAGGAGCATTCATAAGGTTCAGGGTATAATTACGCACGGATTAACACACTAGCTACAGGGCACCCCGGGAGCTCTGAGGATCACCTTGAGCTGCAGGACTGGCAGCCAGAGCCTGGCCATGTCCGAGGGCGATGGCAAATGTCTGTGGCAGCATCAGGCTCGGTGCATTCCGGCAGAACAGGGAATGTTTTATTATTCCTACAGGGTCACTTCAGTTTGTTTGTCTGTGTTTTCCAGGCTGGGTTTGTAGAAGTGCTGAGCAGCCCACACAGCTCTCTCTTACGCGCTTAATTAAACATGAACTTGATCTGAAGCTTGGGTTTGACTCAAATTGTGACAGAGGCAAAGTTCAAGTGGTTCTGGATGTCACTTTGCACAACCCCTCTCCTCTTACAGGCTCGCACTGTCCTTCTGCTCCCCCCACGCTCCTTTTCAACCACTCTTTTTAGATGAAGTTGTGCCATCTGTTTTTTAATTAAGAGGAGAGATAGTCCAAACATTTCTACGGCCTCTGGGAAACAAGAGAGGACCAAAGCAGTGTCCCTGTTCCAGCCTCCCTGTGCCCAGCAGAAGGGCAGTGTGTGCTCTCACCCTGTCTTTGGTGAACGTCCAGCTCTGCAGCGTGGACCCACTGTGGGTTTCCTTCATGAGCTGCTGCCCTCAAGCACGGACACACAGTCAGTGCCTTTCCCCTCTCCTTCAGAACCTTCTCATGTTTGTCTTTGCTAAGCCTCACGCTCGAATTACTCCATGTTTCACATCTTCCTATGTTCAGGTTGACAAACTTTCATGAAAGGATCTATTGCAGCTTGTGAGACAACTGAAAGATACAGCTGAAGAAAGGAAAAGAAAGCATCAGCACGAGGCAGATGGAGACCTGGGCACTGGTTCATCACCTGAGCTATTCCAGTCAAAGGGAATTCTTATTCTTATTAAGTAGCAGCCCCTACTGTGAAGCCTCATTAGGTTAATAGGTTTCTTGGGAGCCACCCTAATTAAATCCATTTCCCATCTAGGCATGTCCTGGTGAGGCAGAATGCACAATCCTTATTAAAATGTGCTTGAAATGGCTCTTTCAGCCAGTGCAAAAACAGCAGAATGCAAGTCCCACATGGTTTTTTGGTTTTAATGTGAAGATTAGCATTTAACAATTAAATTACTACTCACCTGATGCAGCTGTGTTTGTCTGTATTTAGAATAACAACCCAGCTGAACAGTGAGTACCATTTAAGGCAGTGGTGAGAGGTAATTAAAACCCTTGTCAGGAATTCTGCCGGCCAGCCAGCCTATCTCGTTTGCTATCTAGAAAAACATTCAAACCGGAGAATTTTGCAAACGTCCAAAAGTCTCCTGCTTTCAGCTGTTTCAGCTCAAAAGACTGAGCCAGTGCTGGGATCTCAGAGCCCATCTAGAGGGGGCCTGGCAAGCAGCCCCCCCATCAACTCTTCATTACCTAGTTATCCAGAAGTTGAGGAAAACACAAAACGCACATGGCTGAAAGGTCGTACAGCGACAGCGCAGCGGA